GAGGCTCGAGCGCATGCGCAACTCCTGGCAGGGTTACAGCCCCCTCGGCGTTTCACCGAGGCGCCTCCCTGTGGCATCTGCGCTACCGGGACGAGGCCTGGGGTCCCCTGGGTCACCTATACCCTGGGTGGCAGGCTGCCGCGAAGGACGGAGACGGTGCCCATGTTCTCTGCCACACGCGTCCCTTTACCTGCTTCTCTGCGCCCGCAGGGGGTTTTCACCAGTGGGGAGAAAGCGAGAGCGAGCGCATCGAGAGGCTGCACCGTGCCACGTAGCACCCCAAGCAACGCCTTTGCACACCTCAGAAATTATCTTGCCCTCACATAGGAATGAAGCCACCGAGCGCTTGAAAAAAAATCACTTTGAGTCAGTGTAGGCAGGATTTTGTCAGGCAGCAAAGAACACTGGACCTTGAAAACAAAAAGCAGTGTTGTGCCTTCGGTAGGAATTGTGCTGGTCCACTGTTATCCCAAAGGAAGGATAGTTACAAAGCAAACGGATCCTGATCTTGTGATAATTTACCAACGTGCCATAAGAGTTATTCCCTAGGAATACTCATCCTTGATATTTACAAGCCAGAAAGAAAAGGAAAGGAGAAGCAAGCAGAAGGATGAAAACTGATGTACATCATCAATTGACAGAACTGGAAAAAGAACTCATATCTCTACCTTCAGGGGCCTGTCTCCTGTGACATGCTGCCTCTGGTCTTCAGTTTGCTTCCGCCCTCTCCCCCACCATGTATTTGCGGAAAACTCATATTGTCTTGGGATCGGTGCTTTCTCTCTCATCAGCGTGCCTTTCGGTCTGGCCTCTGCAGAAACACAAAGCAACCCTATTTCTTAAGGGATACTTATGCTACTGTAGCTCACACAGCTATTCTGTCCCACATTATCATTATGCGTCTGCTTTCTCTTTGTGCAATGCCTCCACTTGTTCAGCCGAACATCACAATGGTATCAAAGCTCCCTTTCCTGAAAGCTGTTCTGCACCATTCAGCTCTGCTGCAATCGTAACGAGAACAACGATTTAAACAGATTTCAATTCTCACAGGGCCAGGCACTAGAATCAAAAAGTTGCAGCCAGTTACCTAACGCCTGCCTTTCTCTCCTACTGGAGAAAATGGAAACTGGAGGGGAGCAAATATGGTCTCAAGTCTTTACAGAATGGTGCAGAGAAAGCTAGAACTCTGTGGAAGGAAAGAGGAGAATACGCCAGTGAGCAGGTTCACGTTTGGGAATAGCCATCAGGACTGGCAACATTTAATTTTGCTGTTTATAGTTAGGGGCCAGCCTGGCCTACTCCTGCCATGGGAAACATGGGAAAAGGCAAATAGCTGCTTTTCCTTCCCTTACCAAGAGCCACCATCCTGCTTATGCTGCCCCTGAGCAGACATCAGCAGCCAGTCTTGCTTTCCAGAGCTCTGCCATATACAAACTAGCAGGACTATTTTGCCACAGCCAGCATTCAGCTGTCGTAGGCAACTGCCTGCTACACCTGTGGCTGCAGTCAGCCCTGAGGATGATGATACCTGCAGTTGTATAGGCTGGCAGATATTGTAAAGCAAAGACACTCCCTGCACGGGTAACAGTGGGAAAGGCTGCATGTCAGCAGATGTGATACTGCTGAGGGCTTGGAAGGGGAAGAGAAGAATATGCCCACTGGGATGCAGCTGCTATGCCTTTTAATGGGATGAAGCAAGAGTCAAAAAAGAACTGGCAGCTTACAGCATCTATTAATACTATCTGTAGTTATAAGAATGCCAATAAGAATATTTGGAGGGACAGAAAGCCTAATATTTCAGGCCTCTAAATCATTTCTGACTAAAAGGATGAATCTTCCACCTGTTTTTTGGTCTACGATGAAGAGTAGTTAGCGGTAGCTACCATAAAATGTAACCTGCTCTCAGTCTCAGCAAAACTCAGGAGCAGGGAAATAAGCTGCTAGGGCTGTGAACACTCCAGTCAGATAAAAGACTGAAACAAGTCCTGCCAAATAAATGTCATGAAATATCAAGCACCTCACCCCACCCCTTTTTTTTCAAATACCCTCAGCAAGATAGATAGAATGATTTTTTATTGTCAGCCCTCACCCTTCCAATAAGCTAGGTCAAAAGTGAAATGATTCTCTCTTGAGAGATTTTGCTCTTGTTCTTCTCCGGAGCACCAAGGTGAATGCCAAGATCACCGACTCTTGCTAGCTGAATGAGTAAAAGACACGTGAGGAATTCTTCTCTCATCCTCTCATTCTTATAAAGAAAGAGAAGAGAAATATAGTCTAGCTCTTTTCCAGAGGGGCCAAGCTCATTTTCATCACATGGATAGGCTGGGAGGCTGTCCCATTTTCAGAGCTGAAACACCTCTGTGGCACTCCTGTCAGTGCAGCTCCTTGAATCACAGGCTCCTGTGGATCTTGCCTGTGCATTGCCATCCCACCTCTAAACTGGTGCCGTGAAACACTCACTCACCTTATCAGCCACCTGTTTAGTTATCCATCAATCTGAGATCAGCAGCCTGTCCCAAACTATTCCTTTTTGTCTGGTAAAACTGTTCAAGTTCATCTATGCCCCCATATAACCCTATGTTATTGTGTTAATTTTTTAAGCATGTTTTCCTTTCAAACTAACTTGTTTGGCCTTTTCTTTCTAGAGCTTTATCCACTTCTTCAGGGCTTGGAGTTCATGACAGCAACACAAACTCTGAGGGAAAGCCTGTGGTAAAAAACCTCAAAGGGGTTTTCCAAGTCAGCAAGTGAGGAGTATCTCACATCTTTTACTAGAAGAAGAGTTTGAATGAGCCTGATTTGGCCTGTAGAAATCAGGAAAAGCCCAAACCAAACACACTGTATACTCTTGTTG